ACGATTTTATTTGTGGTGAACCAATTGTAACCTTTGTGACAGAAGAATTTCATCTCAGCAGGAATCCACAATTAGATATCACATTATCCAACTACTGTAGTGTACAGTTGTCTTTTTCTAATGGTCTTCTGGAAACATAAAAACACAAGACTACATGACAGTACTGTCTACTTAAAACAGGAAGCAATTTAGCTTTAGTGTGTGCCAACAGTAGCCAACTCCATATAAATTACTGATCTGTGCGCAAAATTCATGTTGATATAAGCATAAAATGACAGACACTTCCACAATCTCTTCAACAAAAGTAAGATTAGCACCACTAATCCTAATGTTGTGTTCCCCAAAACATGTTTAGATCACCATAAAACCACTTTCTAAAGAAGAGCATGCATTTGTTTTCAATGAATGTGATGGTGATTAATGCAGTCTTGAGGTGAAGTTTCATTTTTGTACTGCTTTTGATTTATAGTGCAACATCAACACATTTTAAATAGTCTTCACAAGGTCAGGTACCATCTTTCTCTCTGAGCTGTGGATACAAATGGAGATATAGAGGCCACTTTGGCTCTGTATACTTTGGCCATGTCATAAAGTGACAGTATGAAAAAACTGGCCGTCAAGATATGACAGATATTATTAAACAATCACCTGAGTGAACAGAATAAATGTGTTTAACTTTAGTAAAATCACGTGTGCCAACATAAACTGTCAGCCAGTTTAAAACGAAATAGCAGACATGTGGGAAATAAGCACAAAGAACCTCAGCTTACCTAAATCTTGGTACTAAATTAAGTACCAAACTGCACAGCCAAACGCGATGAATAGCAAACGCAACATCAAGTTGTACCCATTAGGCTGAATCAGCTCCGGTTGATTAGAGGGCAGAAACATATTCTTGCTATTCCTTCCAGCAGCGGTCTGACTACGGACTCCTCTCTCTTAAATTGCGCCGTTCTGGCACCATCTAGTGGGCAGGAGCATGTATTACACTACTTCATTCTACTCCTTTCTACTCAGTGTACTAGAGCAAAGTCCTTTTAAGACAAGTCATGTCACTCGGCGGCCATCTTTGAAACGCCTCTCGGGCATGCAAGTGCAACTCCTATCTCTTTGAATGGGGAAACATCAAATTCTCCAAAACTGTTCACTAAGTTTACGATTAAATTTCATATTTGAAATCACCAAAGAAATCTGACAACAACTGTGTCATAAATGTTGTTACTTTGCTCAAATATCGTTATAAAAAGCTTATTTTTCAGGCAAGATCAGCCAGTGCCCATGCGCAGTCCTAAGAGCACGTCTCAGAACGCTGACTGTTTCTATAGCAACCGGGACGCTTCTAACGGCAGCTGCAGTGACGCTCTGACTTTACCGATTAGCGATTGGCTCTTTCATTCAGAAGGCGGGGCTTCCTGCGATTGAGCGGCCATAAGCTTCAATCACGACAAAACAACCATAATTTTATGGGACATTTGTGACAAACAAAAGCAAAAAATTATGAAGAACATTTTTGTCTATATTCGGATTTCAGTATGACCTCCTAGGAATAATTTATGTTAGCAACAACAACAATATGTAATTGTTGCATTACATTTACATTTACATTTAGCAGACGCTTTTATCCAAAGCGACTTACAAATGAGGACAATGGAAGCAATCAAAATCAACAAAAGAGCAAGATACGCAAGTGCTATAACAAGTCTCAGTTAGCTTAAGGCAGTATACTTAGCAAGTTTTTTTTAAATTATATTATAAATAAAAAGAAAACAGATAGAATAGAAAAAAGAATAGAGCAAGCTAGTGTTAGAGGCCTTTTTTCTTTTGTTAATTGTATAATAAATAAAAAGAAAAGGAATAGATAGAATAGAAAAAGAATAGAGAAGCTAGTGTTAGTGTTTTTTTTTTTTAAGAAAACAAGCAGTTGCAATATGCTATTAACTGTAATATTATAAGTACTTCAATATTTCGTGAATTAACAGCCAATCATACCGTGTGTAAATAATGATGATGGAAAGTCCGACTCACTTCTGCACAAATCCTTTCAAATAACCGATTAAAAATATTTTTTTATTATTTTTTTTTTATTATTGCAAACAATTCAGAGTTGACCCGATTAAAAATTATTCAGTGATTCCTTCACGTCATAACGTCACTACGTCATCACGTGGGCCCTGGCAGATATTCTACTCTAAAATGTTTTCAGGTACATACAGCTATTACATTTTTACGATTACATTAATAAAAACATTTACCTATTAGACAAATCCCAGCTTCACTTTGCTCCAACAATCTGCTCACTCGGATGGAGTACGTTAGTTTCTCGGTTCGCGAGTTGTTGACTCAACAGATTCTGATTCGGAACGAATCGTTCAGACCGGTTTGTGAGTAGGTTTAACAGATTCAGTGAAAAGATTCGACTCAAAGAACGATTCATTTAAGAATCGGACATTGCTCGTTCAGGCCTGAGGCGATGTGTGAGCTATGTAGTATATATACGCTTGTCCGTTATAGCGTCTAAACATTATAATTTTTCCGTGTTAATTTTCCTAACTCTTCTCCGTTACTATTCACGTGTTTGTTTCCGGAATTCTTTAATGATTTATGTCTTGAATAACAGTGAGAACTGGTATATGAACATAGCTCAAAAATAAGTAGCTAACACAGTCAACGTTTGGTGTGTCCTCACCTTTGCTGAAGAAGGATAATTGTAACATCAAGGCATAGCTATGTAGTATATATACGCTTGTCCGTTATAGCGTCTAAACATTATAATTTTTCCGTGTTAATTTTCCTAACTTTTCTCCGTTACTATTCACGTGTTTGTTTCCGGAATTCTTTAATGATTTATGTCTTGAATAACAGTGAGAACTGGTATATGAACATAGCTCAAAAATAAGTAGCTAACACAGTCAACGTTTGGTGTGTCCTCACCTTTGCTGAAGAAGGATAATTGTAACATCAAGGCATTAAAATAGTTTATGTGCAAACTGAAGTGACAAACACCTCAGCATAAGCATGTTTAAAGGCAAAACGGCATGGTTCTCCGACAGTGTTAGAAAGGGGGTACCGTTAACCAACTTCTGGGGTGAGATGAAAAGTATTTGGCTATATATGCTACTAATACAACTCACGTAAAGTGATAAAGACACTATTAATGAACATTTGGGAATATGTCATTTTATATCTGTTTATATATTATATAGCTTATATAGTTTATATTTATAGTTTCTGAAGTTAATAAACAATTTGGGAATATGTCATCTTATATCTGTTTATATATTATATAGCTTATATAGTTTATATTTATAGTTTCTGAAGGGGGAGCGCTTTCTTCCTGGAAAACGGCAGATTACCTCTTCAGTGCTGATGCCTCTTCTGAAGACACTAAAAGGTATGTTCAGTTTACAGTACAATTCTTGTTTGAGGGTGATTTGGTCATACTACTGAATACTAAAGAAACCAGCCTATAGAATGTACTTAATCTAAATCTTCTGTACCCAAAACCATTGAAATGCCTGAAAACTTTTGCCACAAAGGTGTACCTAATTTCTTTTTATGTTTTAGGATATATGAAAGTGAGGATTATGTAAAAAACAGGGCAACGGTTTTCCACAGCAACTTCCTGTCAGCATGTAAACACCGCCAGAGTGGAACATCTGTGCCTATTGGCCACTATGTTCTGCCCCCCGACTCTGTCCAGAATGGTAAACCATGAACATGCCATTATTTTTAGTGACATGTTCCAATGTAAAGAATGAGTAGTTTTTACATTTAAAAATAGTGAATGCCTAATTACAGTTCCAATTCTTCTCTTTAGAAATGAGAGTGCTAATCGGAAGGTTCATTTGGGAAACCGATGAACAGGTATGAGAACATGCCGTCTGTTAATCCAGTGTCCAGTTATTCCTCTCTGTCATTTGTTAGCTTCTCAATCTATTGAAGGTGATGTGTGAAGATCAGATATATACTGAAGTGTCTGAAGACAGTCTGTCTGATGAGACTGAACATCAAGCAGTGAGAGAGAAGAACAGGTATGCATTAACTCTTTTTTTAGTTCTTTAATTCTTTATAGTTATTGGCATAATGCATACATTTATTGTAGTGAATTTTCATTTTTAAACACATAATTCTTTAATATTGTTCAGTTTACTGTACAAATGAGGTCTAAATATTATTTTCATTACCACAGCACTTTATCTTCATAAAAGCATGGTTTAACCTCATGTTATCTTCATGTTCATGTTATCTATTAGCCAGGACGATTACGAGACTGTTGCATCGCCGAACAAAGTGTGTTCTTGTAGTGAGATGTGGAAATATCCTGTAAACAACATGATCTCAGGTATTTAATTAAGAAACAAAACTGACACCATAGTACTTTGACCCATAATTCACATGTCCTCAAATTTAGAAACCGTTTCTTGTTCTGTCTCTTTTGCAGGATATGTTCATATTGACCAAATTAAGAAGTATTCAGGGGAACTTTATGATTTTCTTCCCTCCCTCCATGGCCATAACGTTTCAAGATCTAATGACGTGACACCTCGTCATTGTCACAAAGAAATGTAATATAATATGCTTCACATAAGAAGTGGATTGTCTTTGTTTATACGTTTCTTTGACAAACATATTTAATGCAAATGGATGCTTATTTTGAGTTCCTACTCATCTCATATGAATCTTCCTCAGCGTATCAGACATTTCCCAGCAATATAAAATCCAATCCCTGTATGAGAACAAAGGTGATATGACAGGTTACAGAGAATAACAGTAGTAATATCATTAAAGTGACATACTTCAAAACAAAACTGTGTCCCTGTTTATTTTCTGTTGATGGTTAATTACCTTCCAGTGAGGTGGTCTGTCCATTAAAAGATTTTCTCTGAGGTCAAGTTTTATAAGTCTGCTGAAACCAGGGATTAAGTAATCTTCCAGTGATCTGATGCTGTTAAATTTAACAAACAGGATCTGCAGATTTGCCATGTCTGGAAATAGTTATGACAACAAAATTAACAGAACACAAAAAATTCCACATGAGCACCAATGGGAACAAACAGGGATTTATACCTAATAACTATTAGAATAATAATGACAGTGAAAGAGTAACTATTAGTCCTATAAACATTAACTATATGTCTAATGAGAGCAAAGTGACTGATCAAAGGTACAGCGGCTTCTTACAGCAAGCTGTCGCCAGTCGTCCTCTTAAAACTGTTTTCAAACACATTCATGCCATAAATAGTAATTTAATTAAATGTTAAATTTCTAACCTGTCAGTGCTGTAGGGATGTGTGTAAAACAGTTCTTGTCCAGGTTCATGAAGACCAGTGACTCTGGGAGGTCTTGAAGTTTATTATCAGCCAAGTTTAACCATGGCAAACTGCTGAGACCCCCAAATTGTGATGGCAGGTGTGTAATTTTGTTATTATGGAGCCCAAGTTTCTCTAACCTCCTAAGTTTACCAATAGATGATGGTATAGAGACAAGACCGCATCCTACAGCCCAGAGCTCTCTCAGTTGTCTCAGGTCACCTATGGCTTCTGCTAGAACAGATAATGGGTTGTGGTTCATGCCCAGGTAAGTCAGGTGTTTCAGTGATCCGATGTTGCCAGGAAGCATGGTCAGCTGGTTTCTATCCAGTATCAGTTCTTCAAGCTTTTCCAGATGCAGAATCTTACAGGGAGTGCAAACACTGTTTTAGACATGATTTCTGCTTACAGTAAACAATATGTTAGACATTATTACATGTGATATGTGCAACAAATTCATTCAATTAGTGTTTTTTGAGTATCTACTTTGAAAAACATAGTACGTTTGAGGATATGACGTACCTCGTCTGGTGGTAAAATGAGTTTTATACCTAATAACTATTAGAATAATAATGACAGTGAAAGAGTAACTATTAGTCCTATAAACATTAACTATATGTCTAATGAGAGCAAAGTGACAGATCAAAGGTACAGCGGCTTCTTACAGCAAGCTGTCGCCAGTCGTCCTCTTAAAACTTTTCAAACACATTCATGCCATAAATAGTAATTTAATTAAATGGAAAATTTCTAACCTGTCAGTGCTGTAGGGATGTGTGTAAAACAGTTCTTGTCCAGGTTCATGAAGACCAGTGACTCTAAGTGATTAACATCCTCTGGGAGGTCTTGAAGTTTATTATCAGCCAAGTTTAACCATGGCAAACTGCTGAGACCCCCAAATTGTGATGGCAGGTGTGTAATTTTGTTATTATGGAGCCCAAGTTTCTCTAACCTCCTAAGTTTACCAATAGATGATGGTATAGAGACAAGACCGCATCCTACAGCCCAGAGCTCTCTCAGTTGTCTCAGGTCACCTATGGCTTCTGCAAGAACAGATAATGGGTTGTGGTTCATGCCCAGGTAAGTCAGGTGTTTCAGTGATCCGATGTTGCCAGGAAGCATGGTCAGCTGGTTTCTATCCAGTATCAGTTCTTCAAGCTTTTCCAGATGCAGAATCTTACAGGGAGTGCAAACACTGTTTTAGACATGATTTCTGCTTACAGTAAACAATATGTTAGACATTATTACATGTGATATGTGCAACAAATTCATTCAATTAGTGTTTTTTGAGTATCTACTTTGAAAAACATAGTACGTTTGAGGATATGACGTACCTCGTCTGGTGGTAAAATGAGTTGATTGTTGTTCAGAAAGAGTTTTTTCAATGTAACAAGTCTCGAAACACCAGGTGGCAAAACAACTAGACCCCTATGACTCATGTTCAGACTTTCCTGTTGTTTGCTAAGACATTCCAGTACCATATCATCCCCGTTCATTTTATTTCATTTAATAAAAACACGATATATCAGAAATACAGGCGGTATTGAATAGCGAAGCTAGACTCGTCGTCATCACCATGGTTACATGCAACTTCCGGCATTTCTGGAACGGTTCTTGTACACAGAATGGTGATATTCATCAGTCTTTAAATTAACTCGAGTCGTTGGACAATGTAGCGCTTAAAGGGGAATGCTTTTTATAGTTATTTTTGTTTATTCTTTAGGGACAATGGTAAAATGCAGAAAGTTTTTTTTCTTTGATCGCAGTTGTCTGTATGTTTTTGTACAGACTGCGCAGCGCTGTTTTGATGTTCTTGAATAACTTCCCAGAGAACAGGAAGAAGTGGGATGGCCGTGAGGGACATCAGTGCATATGTGAGCGAAAGCGGGCATGATCCCTACAGGAGTACATAGGTCTTCTAGAGTTTGGGCTGTACGTGTATAAGTGAATAAAATGGATAAAGACAACCTCACCGTGGTCCTGCACTCTAAAGGAGATCTCAGATTGGTATGACATTTTATGCATTTTGGGTGAAGATTTTGCAACCCTTGAACTCTGATTGCACTTGCGATTTATAATTGCAGATTTTTCTGCATTTTAACCATAGATTGTATTTTAACAGGAGCAGCGTCCCATTCCGGAACCAGGACCAAATGGTATAGCTTTGTTTCTTAGTAATATTTCCAAATGCATTGCAATGATGATTAACAGTTTAATATTCATATTTATTCATTATTTTTCGAAGAGGTGTTACTTCAGATGCATTCTGTGGGCATCTGTGGGTCAGACGTGCACTATTGGCAGAACGGCCGCATTGGGGACTTTGTGCTGAAACAGCCCATGGTTTTGGGACATGAAGCCTCTGGTCGTGTGGTGAAAGTGGGCTCTGCTGTGACGCACCTCAACGCAGGTTAGTTCTCTCTGGATTTGGCTTAGTTTTGTCAGTTAAACTCAGATTAAGTGAGTTTTTCTTTCATTTTTTTGTATTCAACAGGGGACAGAGTTGCCGTTGAGCCTGGAGTTCCTCGTGAAGTAGATGAGTTCTTTAAATCTGGACACTACAATCTGTCTCCCAGCATATTCTTCTGTGCCACTCCTCCAGATGATGGAAACCTCTGCAGATACTACAAACACAATGCAAACTTCTACAAGTCAGATCATCACTATTACTGGATTTATATAATGAGAGAGAGAGTCCATAGCACCATCATGTTTTTGCATAATAATCATGTATATGGCTGTGTGTGTGCAGGCTTCCCGATAATGTGACCTATGAGGAGGGAGCCCTGATCGAACCTTTGTCAGTGGGCATTCATGCCTGCAAGAGGGCAGGGTATGCAAACAATTAAAAAAACAGGAAGGGGGCAAAAACTTTTTCACAGCACTGTATGTATAAATTGCACTTATAATGTCTATCCTTTTTATCTGTATTTGTAGATTTGTCTTCTGATCGGCTTGCCAAGGCTAAAGAGATGGGGGCAGACTTCCTGCTGCATGTGAAGAAAGAAGACGAACCAAAGGAGATGGCCAAAAAAGTGGAGGAATCACTATTACTGGATGGTTTATATAATGAGAGAGAGAGTCCATAGCACTTTCATGTTTTTGCATAATAATCATGTATATGGCTGTGTGTGTGCAGGCTTCCCGATAATGTGACCTATGAGGAGGGAGCCCTGATCGAACCTTTGTCAGTGGGCATTCATGCCTGCAAGAGGGCAGGGGTCACTCTTGGATGCTCAGTGTTTGTCTGCGGTGCAGGTCAGTCTTTTCTAATGATTGATATGTATGCAACTGTTATACATTAACTAGCCAATCAGTGTAATTACCTCTGACTTTTTGGCCACTGCCACTTTTCTATAGCGTGTCAGGACTGCAAAACAGTTGTTGCTTAGTCAGCTAATATCACATCTGTATAACATGGCTTTTGGGATGTGTGACTGGTTATAGCAAAAAAAAATAGACTATATATGTGTTTGTTTTTATCAACATAGGACCAATTGGGCTGGTGTCTTTGTTGGCGGCCAAAGCCATGGGTGCTTCACAAGTAATAATAAGCGGTAATGTATATATGTATAAAAGAGAATTATATACAGTGCCGTGAAAAGGTTTTTGCCCCCTTCCTGTTTTAGTGGAGGAAATGCTGGGTTGCATGCCTCAAATCAGCATAGAATGCACTGGAGTGCAGAGCAGCATTCAAACAGCCATCTATGTAAATTTAAGACAAAAATAAAGTCATACTGCTAGCCTTATTTTGTGCTGATGATGGTGTTTTTGTCTAGGCTGCTCGTTCTGGAGGAGTGGTGGTGCTGGTTGGGCTTGGTGCTGAGATGACCACCGTACCTCTTCTCAATGCAGCTGTCAGAGAAGTTGACATCAGAGGTGTATTCCGCTACTGTAACACGTAAGTAGGATCACTTGGGCTTGGGATTTACATATGGCTGCTTCAGGAGTTTTAGTACAATGTAGATAAAAAAGATTTATTGTAGTATGTACATTTCAAAATAAGATTTTACTCCTTTGCACACTTTTACCCATTGTTTTTCCAGCTGGCCGGTGGCCATTTCTATGTTGGCATCTAAGAAGGTGAATGTCAAGCCCCTGGTCACCCACCGTTTCTCACTGGAGCAGGCTGTGGAGGCCTTTGAAACCACCCGCCAGGGACTAGGGGTTAAAGTCATGTTAAAATGTGACAAGAATGATCAAAACCCATGAGATCAACTCTTAGACCCACACCTGATTATTATTGCCTAGCTACAGTGGCTTGAATACATTTGTTTGATCCAGTTAATTTTGCGAGTAACCTCAGGTACAACAGTCATAGGAATTAAGTGATACTTCTTCACAGTGGATCTAATTATT